CAGCGGTACCTGGATGAGGCAGAGAGGGAGAAGCAGCAGTATATGAAGGAGCTGCGGGCCTACCAGCAGTCTGAGGCCTATAAGATGTGCACTGAGAAGATCCAAGAGAAGAAGATTAAGAAAGGTAGGTAGGTGGGTCGGAGCCTGGCGGCCGAGACTCACCGCAGAGCAGCCCCTCCCCACCACTGGGCAGGGCAGACGCTGAGCCCCGCAGGAGTCCCAGCGCAACCCACCGGGAAGGCCACTGTAACTAGGGGAGAGACAGGGCACAGAGGGTGGCCTGGGAACCTGAGAGGCTAACTTTGTCTCCCTTCCTGCCCCCAGAGGACTCCGGCTCGGGGCTCATGAACACGCTCCTGAACGGACACAAGGTACAGCAAGAGCTGGGGGTAGCTGGAGGTATCTAGACCCCTCAGGAGTCGGGACCAGTCCTAGGGCGCAAGTGGGCATCCCTGGTCCACTTCCAAGTCCCTCCCTCCCAGGCTTGGGAACCTCCAGGGGGTGTGCCTATCCCCTAAAAGACACTGCCACCTGGTCCCGTTGTCCCAGGGTGGGGACTGCGATGGCTTCTCTACCTTCGACGTCCCCATCTTCACTGAAGAATTTTTGGACCAAAACAAAGGTGAGACTATTTAGGGCACAAAGGAGGGAGGGTTCATTTCCAAAGCCCAGAAGCCTGCCTTAACCTGGGAGTCGGAAGCAGAGGGCTTGGGAACGCAGGGCAGAACAGCAGCGAGAGGTGCTTGAGACTCCAACTGGTCCCCCTCGCCCCCATCCACAGCGCGGGAGGCAGAGCTGCGACGCCTGCGGAAGATGAACGTGGCTTTCGAGGAGCAGAACGCCGTGCTGCAGCGGCACACGCAGAGCATGAGCAGTGCGCGCGAGCGCCTGGAGCAGGAGCTGGCGCTGGAGGAGCGGCGGACGCTGGCCCTGCAGCAGCAGCTCCAAGCAGTGCGTCAGGCTCTCACAGCAAGCTTCGCCTCGCTGCCCGTGCCTGGTGAGCCCCACCGCCGTCAGCCCCACCCCCTAGCTCCGCCCCGAGAGAACCCCTCCCCCTCCAGCTCCATGGCGCCGGCCGAGTTCCGCCAGGCCCTCACCCGGCCAAGTCCTTTCGTTTGCCCCCACCTCCTCTATCTTGGGCTCCTCAAGCACCACCCCCAGGTGGGCACCGCCCCCAGGTGGGCACCGCCTCTGCGGCTGCTCTAACTCCACCCCTTTTCCTGCTCCTGCAACTAGTGCCTTTCAGTGTCTGGCTCTGACTGCACCTTCCTCTCTGTCACTTGAAAAGTACCACTCTGCTGGCCACGCCCCCTAGTCCTCAAGGCTCATCTCTGCCTAGAATCTTGCCGCATCCCTGCCCACCTAGCTCCTCTCTCCTGACAGCCCAGAACTGTATCACTGCCCATTCTGACTCCTTTGATTCCCACCACCAACCCGGGTTCCCATGAGCCCATTTTACTGACTCCTCTTCCCCAGACTACCTCGGGAGCCCTCCCTTGGCTGTTCTCTGGTCCCATATCTTCTACTCTATCCTGCTGTTTCCCAGAACCCCATCCCTGCTCATCCGGGATTCAGGCCCTGCCCTTACCCCTCTCACTCTGCCCCAGTGCCCCCCAACTTCGCGCTGGCAGTCTTGGACAACCATGCACCTCCAGCTGGCCTGGGCACTCAACATAATCCCCCACCAACACTCCTGGCTTCCGGCCCTGGGGCCTCCCCTCTGCCAGCTGATCCCTCCCCCCTCCCATGGTCTCCCACAGGCACTGGAGAAACCCCAACCCTCAGCACCCTGGACTTCTACATGGCCCGGCTGCATGGCGCCATTGAGCGAGATCCCTCGAGGCACGAAAGCCTCATTGTGCGCATCAAGGAGATCTTGGCCCAGGTTGCCAGGTATGTGCGGCAGGTGCCCAGGCCAAGGCTGCTTGAGCCAGATTGAAGGGTCCAGATGCGCTGGTGTGTGGGCTTTCCCTGGCCATAGCACCTGGGGGAGCATAATGAAGGGGCTGCTGGGGAAACCCCCAGATGCCTTTGGCCAGACCCTTTGGAGACCAGAGCCACCCTGAAGCTTTCCAGGGTGGAGCCCAACAGCCCAGGTCAGGAGCACCCCTCAGACCCTGCCCTGGGATGTGCTAAGAGAGCTTGGCCTTGAGGGTCCCTGGCTTGGGCCTGGGCAGAGGATGATGGGGTCACTGTCACTCCTCTTTCTCTGTTACAGCGAGCATCTGTAGGGCCCGGTGCTCACAGATCTGAGGAGCAGCGCTGTGCTTGGCCCACCCTTTACCTAGCTGATAGAGGAGAGGCTGGGGGCACACCCTTTGGGGCCAGGCCCCATCCTGCACCTTGGGGGCTCCAGCCCCCCTAAAACTAAATCTCTACAGCATCCCATTCAACTTGAGCCCTCTCAGCCCCAGAGAAAGCACTGACCACTGAAGAAAAGATGAAACCCCAGGATCGCGGGGCTCAGAGGGACTCCCAGGCCCTGAGGCAGTCCCAGGACCCACAGCACATGCCTCATGAGAGGGCTGCCTAGGAGTTCCCTGCACCCCCAGAACTGCTCGCCACAAAAGCTGCATTTTGGCCACACAACCGGAAGACCCTGGTGGCAGCTCTCCTTCTCAGCAGGGCCTAGGGGTGCTGACCTCCCCTGGTCCAACTGAGCAATATCCGGGAGGCAAATCCTTCCCATGTCCAGATCCAGACTTTTAAAATAAAAACTCGTAGAAATTTGCATTTCCAACTTGTGCGTGTGGTTTATTGGTGTGGACCAGCCAGAGGTTGGACCTGTGACCTCCATCACTGCCCCGGACTCCAGATCTGCCTTCTTACATGGGAGATAGGAAAACTGAGGCCCCCGCTTGGCCAGATTCATAACCAGGCGGGATATCAATCTCCTTCCCCTCCCAATATGGCATGGGGGAGACAGTGATGGGAGGGACTTGGCCATATTTTACCTTTTGGGCAGCTTTTCCAGGCTGGGATAAGAAACCTTTTCCCAGCAGAAAGGCTTCCATAGAGCATGAACTTTTCAGCAGTGTAGAGATGCACAACTCAGAGAGTACATTTACTGTCATGTAGCCATCAGTATTTATTTTTGGGGGGGCTGGCTCAGAATGCCTTCAGGGCATGTTTGGCTGGCTGGAGTTGTGGGGATCGAACCACAGCAACCTGAGGCTGACTGCTTTGTTGAAGCAGCCACTTAAACAACTGAGCTAAGGGGCAGGCCCCTAGCCATCACTATTAGATAGCTCTGGTATTTTCTCATTACTGCAAAAGAATCCCAATCCCCATGAGCCCTCACTCTTCCCCTCCCCAGCCCTAGCACCTATGAGGTCACTTCCTGTTTCTGGCTTTGCCTGTCCCGCTGCATTTCCTGTCCATGGCTATGTGTCTTCCGCTCCTGGCATCCCATTGAGCACAGTGTCTCCAAGGTGGGCTACATTGTAGTCAGCCCCATCCTCTAGCTACTCCCTCTCAAACTGTCAAGCCCAGCCCCTGCTGGAATCCCACCCCTCCAGCTCTATGGTCCCCTCCTCAAAGTAGGTTTTTCGATCTCACCAGAGAGAAGCACTGTTTTTTGAGCCATAATTCCTGTCTAGGAGTTTTTCTTTGTTTTTGTTTGAGGCAGGGTCTTGCTATGTACTCCAGGCTAGTCTTTTTAACTGGGGATTGAACTCATAACCTTATGCTTGCCAGGCAAGCATTCTACTGAGCTATCTCCCTGGCCCAGGGCTAGTCTTAAACTCACTAGTAGCCCAGGCTGGCCTCAAACCAGTGGCAAGCCTCCTGTCTCAGCCTCTGAGTTCTGGGATGACAGGCATGTGCCACTATGCCCAGGTTCTGTCTAGGAACTTTAATGGAATTCTCAAATGTTTCCAGTCACGCATGCCCAGGGGATTTTTACAGGGTCCTGGTCCCCTGGGTTAACCTCTGTGCCTTACAGATCCATTCCTTTCCACCTCAAGCAACGCAAGCACCTACTTATGTGTGCAGTGTACAGCAGTCCAGCCCCAGAAGAAAAGACTCCAATCCCTGCCCTCCTGGAGCTAGCTACTCTTGTAGCCAGGGTCATGGACTGGGCTCAAAGTGAAGAGGTGAGATACCCAATGTACCTCATGATGGGGCAGGGAAAAAAATGAAGCTGAGGAAACACAGGGAGGTGGGGACAGCAGGTGGTGTTCTGAGAAAGATGTGAGCCTTGAGGGAGTGGATCACACAGAGCTCTAAGGAAAGGTGGTCTTGCAGAAAGCGTAGCTGTGCAAAGGTCCTGCGCCCGCAGGGAGCCGGGTGTTGAGGAGCAGCAAGGAGGCCTATGTGGCTAGGGTTGAGAGAGGTGTCTGGTCATGCAGGGCCCCATGCGCTGCAAGGGCGACTTGGATTTTTCCTTTGAGGAAAGTAGGAGCCATAGAGGGCTGTGTGCCGAGGAGGGTCTTGGATGCTATTCACTTTATAGCAGCCTAAATTTCCCGCCCCATCTTCAGACTGCTGTAAGGATTAAATGATCACCTAGCAAAGAGTGACAGAGCGTGAGCCTGGGGCGCCACAGAGGCCAGCGACCTTATTTGTGATCCTTGTTATTCTTAGGTCCTCAGCTCAGGCCCCAACAGACGCCAAGCGTCCCTGGGGAGGGCACAGCTGGCCTGGCAGGGTCTGGACACCTGGGGCCCGCGCCCCCCTCTGCATCGCGGTGTCACCTTCCCTGGCGGCTCGGATTCCCGGATCCCCTTACACGGCGACGGCTCGGCTGTCGCGTCCGCAGCCGGAGGAGGGGAGGCTGCAGGAAGCGGCGGATCCGGCAGGAGCGGCGGCCCGGGTGGGTGCCGAGTTCCCGCCATGGAAAGTGCAGCAGCCCGCGAACCCCGGGGCGCAGACGCCCCGCGCGCCCCTGCGCCCCCGCCCTCGCCCGCCGAGCCCCCCGCCGCGCCCCGCGCGCGCCCACGCCTAGTTTTCCGCACGCAGCTGGCGCACGGCAGCCCCACGGGCAAGATCGAGGGCTTCACCAACGTTCGCGAGCTCTACGCCAAGATCGCCGAGGCCTTCGGGATCGCGCCCACCGAGGTGAAGACCCCTGGTCGCTGCGCCCAGGTCCCTGGTGGGAGATGGGCGCGGGTGGATCCTGGACCCTAGACGGGAGACCTCACTTCCCGGATCCCCTGATCCCTGTATCTCAGGATTGGAGGAGGGAATCAGGCTGGGTCGCCTGATCACAGGGCAGCACCTCTCAGATCTTAGACGCCAGGTCCCAGGGACCCCTTGGAGCACCCTGTAAGAGATGAGAGGCCCTAGGTTAAGAGTCCGGCATATCTTCCGGGACCCAGCTGGGAGTGAACCTCAGAAGCGCCTGGGTGGTCCTGGGCGCAGCAGGTGGAAAGGCCTGGCTGGGGTTTGCCCACCCTGGTGCCCCCAGAAGTCCCTAGAAGGCCCCACTAATTTTCAGCACCCTGAAAAACTGAGTTTTGAATGGTACCCCGGGGATGGGAGAGGGGTCCTCTACAGCCCACACCCTCCTATTTATCCTCCTCTATTCTAGGGGTTCCCTCCCTGCCTCCTCCCTTCCTCACATCCTTCCTTGTTCCCTCCTTTTTTCCTCCCTCCCTCCCTCCCTCCCTCAGGATTGAGCCCAGGGTACTCTACCATTAAGCTGTATCTCCAGCCCATTTTGTTGTATTTTTTTTTCCTTTTTATTTTATTTTGATACAGCGCCTAGATAAATAATCCATACCGGCCTCTAACTTGTGGTCCTCCTGCCTCAGCCTCCCCCAGTGCTGGAATTACAGGCATGTCCCCAACGCTGGCCTCAGTCCTGCCATTTCACATGTGCTGGGATCTTGGCTGCTGGGAGCCCGGGCCAGTTCTGCACCTGTTGAAACTCAGTTTCCCCATCAGGCCCATGGACCCAAACCCTGGGGTATCTGTGGCAGACAACATGGCAAAAGGGGCTATAGGCACGGTGGCTGATTTCAGGCTCGCTTCTCCCCGGGCAGATCTTATTCTGTACCCTCAACAGCCACAAAGTGGACATGCAGAAGCTGCTAGGGGGACAGATAGGGCTGGAGGATTTTATCTTCGCCCACGTGCGCGGCGAGACAAAGGAGGTAGAGGTCACCAAGACTGAGGACGCGCTGGGGCTCACCATCACCGACAACGGGGCTGGCTATGCCTTCATCAAGGTGTGCGCATGCGCTGGGGTGATTGCCACGGGGTGGTCTGGGGACCCAAATCGTGTGGCTGAGTTGGTGTACAAGTGCACTGGCGAGGGTGTGTGTGATATCCCTGGGGGCTCTAGGGACCCAAAGCAGGTGGCTGAGTTAGCGGGGAATGACGTGGGTCCCCTCAGAGGATCAAGGAAGGCAGCATCATCAATCGTATTGAGACCGTGTGCGTGGGAGACAGCATCGAGGCCATCAACGACCACTCCATCGTCGGGTGCCGCCACTACGAAGTGGCCAAGATGCTCCGGGAGCTCCCCAAGTCCCAGCCCTTCACCCTGCGCCTGGTGCAGCCTAAGAGAGCTTTTGGTGAGGCCACTAGAAACCAGAGACCTGTTGTGGGGATGCGGCCGGACAGTGGGGCCAGGGGACAATAGAAGGCGCAGAAATGGATGTTCAGGACCAGAAGGGGGTTAGACTGCTAGGGTGATTTGTGGAGGAGGGATGGAGGTTGACCAGGGCAGAAGGGACAGGACAGAGAATTGCCCAGGTCCACTCTGTCACATGGATAGAGGTCGGTGGTTGAGATTCTTTATGTTTTGCTTTGTTTTGAGACAGGGTCTTGCTGTGTAGTTCAAGTTAGCCTCAAACTGGAGGCAATCCTCCTGCCTCAGCCTCTGGAGTGCTGGGATGACAGGCAAGGGCTACCATGCCTGGCTGCATGGGTTTGTTGCTATTGTTTTAAGCTTGACTTTGCCAGTGAAGGCAGCAGCGTGCTGGTTTTCCCAAGGCGCATCCTCGTCATCTCATCAAAGGCCCACAGGGGGCGCTGTTCTAAAGCAGGCGGTTCTCGAATTGCCTTGGCTTGTCTAGGAGGCCCCAGGAGACTGGGTAGCCCCGGGCTCTCCATCTGCCCCGCGTCATGGCCGAGAACTTTTGAGAGCCTCAGTTAGTCAGGAAAGGCGAGTGCTGCAGCTGGGCTTTTCTGGGCTGACTCTCCAAACACAAGTTGGGTCTTAGTGTTGTCTGTCTAGAGCCATTTTAAGAGCAGGAAGGAGTTTTGGGCAGCCATCCCGGGGCACAGGAGTAGGATGTTGGCTCTAGAGCTGTCCTGTTATGGCTTATGCTGGACTCTCAATTTAGTTTGGGGTCGGGCAGGAGAAGTGGAATCTTCACAGGGATCTCTGAAGAGTCCCTGCATGGGCTGGGTGTGGTGGTGCATGCCTGTCATCCCAGAACTCTGGAGGCTGAGGAAGGAGGACAGCAGGTTGGACCCCCAACCTGGGCAACTTAGCAAGACTGTGTGTCAAAATAAAAAATAAAAAGGGCTCGGGATGGAGCCTAGTGTAACGGCCCTGAGTTCAGATCCCCACACTGAAAAATAAAAAATCCACCCACGGATCTGAAGGGCAAGGATGTTCTAGAAAGACTCAGCTGCCAGCTTCCCAGAGTTTACAGAGCTGGGTCCTCCTCTACATCCAGAGCACTTCACAACCCCTCTCTGTCCCCTCCAGATATGATTGGCCAGAGGAGTCGGGGCAGCAAATATCCTGTGGAAGTGAAGGTGACCAGTGGGAGGGAGACCTTGAGGCTGCGTTCTGGGGGTGCTGCCACTGTGGAGGAAGTGGTGAGTGACAAGAAGGGTCCCTAGGGCCCCTCACTTACAGCTTTGGTGCTGCCTCAGTGTGGCTTTGGATACGAACCGTTTCTTGGCCAGGGGTAGTGAGTGACACACAGCTGCCACCCCAGTACTCTGGGAGACTGGGGCAGGAAGCTCACAAATGCAAGCCCAACCCGGGCAATTTAGCAACTTAATGAAAATTAGAAAATAGAGGCTGGCGATACAGCTCAGTGGTACAATGGCAAGCATGAGGTTATGAGTTTGGGTCCTGGTACCAAAAAGAAAAAGAAAAAAAAAAAAGAAAGAAAGAAAAGGGGGCCAGGGAGATGGCTCAGTGGAATAAGCACTTCCCTGGCAAGTGCAAGGGCCTGAGTTCAATCCCCAGTTCTGCCAAAAAAAATAACAACAACAAAAAACCAGAAAAGAGCTGGGAATGGACCTCAGTATAAAGACCTTGGATTCTACGCCCAGTGCCACAAATAAAAAAGGTCCATTTCTCAGAGCCTGTTTCCCTACTTGGGAAGTAGGCCCTGCTGAGAGGCTGGTATAGCGGTGGTTCTGGAGCACATGCTGTTCCTAAGGGGTATTGGGAGGGTGGCTGCAGGGCTCGGAGCCTCTTACCCTCTGTGCCCCACTACACCCAGCCCACTGAGTTTGAGGAGGAGGCGTCCCGGAAGGTGGATGACCTGCTGGAGAGCTATATGGGCATCCGAGACCCTGAGCTGGGTAAGGGGCCAGGGTAAGCCGGGGGTCCCCAGGGGTGGCAGCGGGCGGAGGATGGGGTCCCTGGAGAGTGGAGCCCTGGAGTGCCCTCACCCACCTCCTCTGCCTGGCCTGCAGCATCCACCATGGTAGAGACTTCCAAGAAGACAACCAGCGTCCAGGAGTTTGCGAGCTGTTTAGACTCCGTCTTAGGCGAGTTCGCCTTCCCGGACGAGTTTGTGGTGGAAGTGTGGGCCGCCATTGGCGAGGCCAGGGAGGCTTGTGGCTAGTGTGCCCGGGGAGCCAGCGCAGCCCCAGCCCGGAGCCCAGCACCCCACCCCAGCCCTGCTCTAGTGTCAGGCCCTGGCCAAGCTCCGAGGCCAGGTTTGCCTCCAGAAGCCAGCTCACTTTGGAAATCCCACCCAGCTCCTCTACATCACAGCCCTGCTCGGAGAGCAAGCCAGGAGCTGAGGCCAAGCCCTGCTCCAGAGCCCAGCCAGGCTTCAAGATGAAATCCAGCCCTGAGACCAAGCCCTGCCCCAGAGCCCAGCATGGCCCTCAGCCCAAGCCCACTTCTGGAACCCAGCCTATCTCTGAACAGAAGCCCAGCTCCAAAACCCAGCTCATCCCCAAGACGAAGCCCTGCTCCACAGCCCCGCTCGGCCCTGAGAGTAAGATCACCTCCAGAATCCTGTCGAGCCCTGACATCAAGCCCCGTTCTGGAACCCAGAAAAGTGTTCAGATCCAGTCGAGCTCAGCGAGCAGTGCCAGCCCCAGCACCCAGTCCAGCTCTGGGACCAAGCCCAGCCGTACAAGTCATCCTGAGTCCAGAGAGGAAGACGGCCCCACGGCCCAGCCTGACCCAGACACTCAGGGCCATTCTGGGGTACCAGGTAGCTCCAGAAGCCAGGAGAGCGTCAAGCACCAGGCCAGCTCTGGAGCTCAGGCCAGCCCCGGGAGCCAGATCCATACCGCCGAGCAGTCTCCATCCAAACCTCAGTCCTGCCCTAAACCCCACTTGCTCCCAGCCACCTACCCCCATCTCGCACCCCTGTCCACTTCCAGCAGCGAGTCCAGCTCTGCCACAGAGCCCAGCTCTAGAGCACAGCCTACTGCCACAACCAAGCCCAGTTCCACAATTCAGCCTGCCTCTGGAACACCCCTTGGAAAGCCCGGCTCCAGGACTCTGGCTCTGAGCCCCTGACTCCCTGCAGAACACAAGCCAGCTCCAGAACCCAGACCAACTCTGGGACCCAAACCGACCTCAAAGCCTGGTCGAACTCCAGAGCTCAGCCCAGCCCAGGCGTCCCACCTGGCTCCAGGAGTCAGTTTGGTTCTCCAGCACAAACCAGTTCTGAAAACCCATCCAACTTCAAAACACAGTCAGTGCCTGAGACTCAGTTGCGCTCCCAAATCCAGCTACACGTTGGAAGCCGCCCACCTCCTGGGATACAGACCAGCACTGCCGTAGACCAGGGCTTGGACACCCCGGCCGGCACTGAGAGCAGGCCCAACTCCAGGACCCAGGACCACGCAGGCACTCCCCACGGCTCTCAAACCCTGCCGCGCTCCAGACACCGGCTCCAGGCCACAGCCAGCTCAGTTATTCGGTCAGACTCTGGGAAGCAGGTCAGCTTTGGAGCTCAGCCCAGCCCAGGAACCCAGGCGAGGGCAGGGATTCAGCCCACTTCCAGGACCCCTCCTGCCTCTGGAACACAGTGCGGCTCCAGAACCCTGACCAGTCCTAGAGCACAGCTTGGCCCCAGTATCCAGGCCGGCTCAAGAATGCAGCCCAGCTCCGGAATCCACCTCCGCTCTGCCATTCAGCCCAGCTCTGAGATTCAGCCCAGCTCTGGAACCCAGCCGCGCTCTAGAACCCAGCCCAGCCCTGGGATTCAGGTCCACTGTGGCAACCAGACCAGCTCTACAAACCAGACCAGCTCCGTCACTGGGCTCAGCCCTGAAACCCAGGCCAGTTCCAGGATCCAGATCAGCTCTAGACGTGGGCCAAGGCCCCAAACTCCTGATCCGAGCCAGGACCCCAAAATACCAACCCCAGCAGCCAGCAAAGCTCCGGGGCCCAAGCCTCAGTCTCCTGACCCAGAATCAGGAACACAGGCCAGCCCCGGTGCTCCCTCAAGCTCCTCAGCCTACCTCCTGGCCCCCCACCCAGTGGCTCCCTCTGTGCCCCAGAAACCCCCCCTCTCTCCCAAGCCGCAGCTGGGACCCCTGAAGCTCACCCCATCACCTGTATCCATCACCCCTGACCTTTCCCCAGGGGGAGCCTCCTGAGTTTCCAGCCAATTGAGCCCCCAGCTGGGGGTGGGGTGTGCCCCACCCCAGGCCTTGCCCCCTCCAGGTGTGAAGTCACAGCAGCTCCCGCAGCCCCCCCCCCAGCCTTCTCCCCCAGACACCGCCGCAGGTGACCTCGTTCCCTGGCTGGCGAGGAGGGGGTCGTGGAAACAAGGTTTGGTTTCAGGCGCCTGCCCAGGGACTTGTAAGTGGATCTGATGTGTGGGAACGAGGCGGGGTGGAGGCGCTGGCTTCTGTACCCCAGGACAGGATGCCCTGTGAATAAAGGCTCCTCACACCCTGCGGCCTGTGTCCTGCCGTGGTCATGGGGGGTGCGGGGGCAAGGGAAGGGCCAGCCACCACCCACACCCACTACATGCCAAGTGCCCTCTTCAGGAAAGTGTCATTTATTGGCCCCTGCTGCCTGCCATGGTCCCGGCCAATGCGCTGTCCATAGACCCTGCGGTGCGGTGTCACCTGGGAGAGATGCAAAGCAGACACTGGCCGGAGATCTCCCCAGGCCAAGGCAGGAGGAGCCCAAGTTCAAGCCCAGCCTGCACATGACCCTCCTCATCCAGCCATCTGAACTCGGACAGAAGGAAAATAAAGCCAGAAACCTTGGGATATATTTTGGCAAGAGAGAAAATCCCCCCTCACTGTTCACATTCAATTTATTATTTTGTTTATTTTTTTATGTATTAGGGATCCAACCCAGAGCCTTGCACATGTTGGGCAAGTGCTCAGCACCAAGCTACATCCCCACCCCACCCCCTTTTTAAAATTTGAGACAGGCTCTCACTAGATGGCTAAATTGCTCAGGCGGGGCTCAGTTTAGACCGCTCCTGCCTCAGCTTCGCGACCAACTCCTCCACACTCTGCACGCTGAACCTGGTCTCGGCAGAGCCGCTCCAGGTAGGGCTGCGGAGGAGGTCTTTGACCTCAGCAAGGCCTCCTCTTAGAGGTTCACCCCAGCTCAGAAGGCTTCGGGAAGAAGCCTAGCTCCTCTGAGCTTCGTAGTCCGATTCCTTCCAGGAGCCCCCAAACTCCCTCCTGGGGCTGGAGGAGACCTGGGAGTTCTGGGGGCATGAGGGGGCAGGGCAGGGAAGGGGGTGTTGCACAGGGACCAGGGAGCCCCGCAGGCAGGAAAAGGGCACCCCTTCCCCCAGTCAGAGTGGCCCCCTGGCGTCCTGGGTGAGCTGCGGCTGCAGGGAGAGCGACCGGGGCCGCGAGCTGAGGCGCGGCTGGAGACGCCGCAGCACGGCGCGGCGGAAGAGGATGTAGACCCAGGGGTCCAGGATCTGGTTCCAGGTGGCCACGCGCAGGTAGATGAGCAGCTGCTTCTCCACGGCCCGGGACAGCTGGCCGGAGGCGCTCATGGCCGGCGGCTTCCGCAGCACTGTCTGCGCGATGAAGACCTGCGGGACCACGGGGCAGGGTGAGCGCGCAGGGCCAGGACCCCGGCGCAGGCGGCGTCCTCAGCCCTCGCCCGGCGCGGCCCGCCGTGCTGCTCAACTAAGATCTCCACCGGAGAACTTTTTAGGTGGTTTTTTTTTTTGTTGTTGTTGTTGTTTTTTGGTGGGGGGCGTCTCGTCATATAGCCCAGGCTGGCTTCAAACTCATGGCCATCCTCCTGCCTCAGCTTCTCGCGTGCTGGGATGGCAGGAATGCACCAGCACGCCGGGATCTAAATCTTCTAAATCTTTTTTTTTTTTTTTTTTTTTTTTTTTGTGGAACTACAGATCGACATCAGGTCCTTGAGCTTGCCAGGGAAGCACTTATTCCACTGTGCCACCTCCCTGGCCCATATTTATTTATTTATTCATTGTATTTTAGGGAAGGGTCTACAGGGTGTTCTGGGTCTATGAGTACTAGATCGGACTCGTAGTGATTCGCCTGTTTACAGCCTCCTAAGAGCTGGGATTACAGGCGCGCCACAACGCACAGTCTCAGTTGCCGTTGCAGCACCCCCGGGGGCGGGGCCAGCACGGGAGGCCCCAGGATTGAACCAGCCTTCCAGGCACTTTAATCCGCTGAGCTGTTTGGCCAGCCCTAAAACTTTATATATATTTCAAATACTTTTAAACTACGTTAAATTTATATAACTATGCATGGTATACATAGTTTCCTTCTTTCAGCACCTGGTATTGAACACAGGACCTTCACACTGAGCCCCAGCTGCTGGCTTTTTTTATTTTGAGACAGAGTCTCACTAAGTCTAAACTGCCTAGGCTGGGCTAGAACTTGTGATCCTCCTGCCACAGCTGCACAGAGTGCTGAGTTTACAGGTGTGCACCACCACACACAGTCAAAAGTTTTTTTTT